GTTAATATCATCCGGAATTTCATGCATAACGTCTTTGAGAAGGGCGCCCAATTTTACAAGTTGTTGACGTCCTTCAGCACTCAAACGAGCAGAAGCCGATGGAAAAAGAACTTCAGAACGTAGAATGAACCGGTCACCCACGACTTGAATTTCAGGACGGTCGCCTAAAACCTTTTGAAGCTTCCCAAAAAAGTTAGAGCGATATTTGGCAAGTTCTTCTACTTTGCGAACCAAAGCTTCATCTAAGGTGGTGGCAATATTTTTAACTTTTTCTTCTGGGTCGAGCGCTTCAGGACTTTCGGGAATATTCAAGGCTTTAGAGAGTTTAGAAACTTGCTTATTAAAAGACTTTAGTTGACCTGTAAGTGCATCGACTTGAGCTTGAGCCTCTGCAGCTGTTTGCTGCTCTAAAGATAAGGACTGTTGAGCACGACTCACTTCTTGTTGCACCTGTGACAATTGATTGGAAAGATTTTTTTCTCTCACTTTTGCTAATTGACGAGATACCTGGAAAGAAGTTGAGATCTCTTCTTTTTCTTTGCGCTCTACAGAAAGCATGTCTTCTAAAGTGTCGAGCTGAGTTTTCAGACCATCCAAAGATTGATGACTTTGATTGAGAGCTGAATTTAAGAAAAAATGAGAAAGTGCAAAAAAAGTGAGAACAAAGAGGGCAACAATCAAAAGGCTTGCGAAACCATCCACAAAAGCAGGCCAAATGTTGAGAGAAAGTTCATTTTCTCTTGTTCTTGAAAAACGACGGCTCATAAAAATGTCTCTTAATAGAGTAGATATAGCCAAAAATCGCCTTTTTTTTCAAATCTGTCAAGGTTTGGGGCTTTTAAACGTAGTCTACATACCCATGTTGATCATATTTTTGTATGCTTCTAATCCCTTGTCCCAAACTGTTTTAAACTCTTCTACAGTCATTTGAAGTTCATTTACAGTGGTCACCACAGAAAGGTCATCTTCCGGATTTTCAATGGCATTAATGATTTTCTGTTCTCCGTGTTGAAGTGTTTCTAAACTATTTTTTGCACTTTCTGTCAAAAAGTCCCCAAATCCCTTTCCATTTGATTTTTCTAACGTGGGTGTGTCCAAAGTTTTTTGGGTGACTTTGACGCCAGATCCTGGCCCATAACTACCTGTAATTTCAGCCATATTTAGAGTTCTCCTAACTCATCATTTTTAATTCTGTATGCTTCATTGTTGTGGCCATTTTATAGGCGCTGGCCAAACGTTTATGACCATTCCTTGCTTCCATGACGTCCATCATTTCAACCATAGGGTCTACATTTGGCATTAAAACGTACCCGTTTTCATCTGCAGCAGGATGGCCTGGTTTATATTCCGTCCGAAAAGCGGACTTATCTTTCACAGGCTTATTTGCTTTCACGGTTTTTTGACCTAAATTTCTATCCATTTTTTCTTTAAAAGTCACCACTTCACGTTGATACGATTTGCCGTCAGGTGTCTTTGCTGTGGATTGAGCGTTGGCCATATTTTGAGTTGCGATTTTTAATCGCTGAGTATAGGCATCCATTCCATTGGAAGCGAGTGCCTGTGATGTGGATAAAGGAGATTTAGGAATTGTCATGGTATTCTCCTTTTTTTATTCTTAAAAAATTTAAAAATTCCATGACTTAACGCCCCCTTAAGATTGTTTTTAATAACTTGCTACTATTTTTATAGAGTGAAACCATCTTTGCATGATCTGTGGAGGTTTCGTTCATTTTACGCATTTGATTTTCAGGGTTAATGTGATTTCCTGCTAGTGTGACATCCAATTCCGTTTTATCCGTCTCAACTTTAAACCCTCCAGTATTGCTTGAAGATACTCCTATGTGCCGTGCATTTGTTTTTGCAAGAGAGGGATTGGTTGTTTTCGTTGAGTTTGGCAAACGAAACGTTTTTAAATCTTTCTCTTGTGCGCCTGGCAAATCAGCACGGGCTAAATTTCCTGTTAAAATTTCTTGCCGTTTAGTGTCCCAACGTATTTTAGAAACTAGACTTTGAAAGATTGGTATTTTGTGGAAAGGCATTCATTTCTTCTCAATAAAGAACAGAGCTTAAGCTTTATTTGAAGGATAATAGATTAATAAATTGTAAACTTTTTCAAAAATTGTGTTAGTCTTTTACAATGCGATTTCGGGGTGTGTAGAGGGTGCTAAATGCTTCATGTTTCAAGAAAAATTGGCGAAAGTGTTGTCATCGGCAGCAATATAACAGTTAAACTTTTAGACATAAGAGGACGTACAGCCAAGTTAGGGTTTGAATTCCCTAAAGGTGTTCAAGTCTTCCGCCAAGAACTTTATGAACGTATCGAAGCAGAAAATAAAGCAGCGACTCGTTCAATCCAATATCTAGATCGTGTAAAAAAAAGGGGAGATATAAAATGAGTGGAACACAACTTCACCGACAAATTCAATTAATTACTCGCCTTGTCACCCAATGTCACAATGAATTGGATACGTGAAAAGAAGCTGATATTGACTGTTTTCGTGGAAAGCTAGAAAGCCTTTCTAGTACATTGATGTCAAATCCAAAATTGTGCCAAGATCCTGTTTTGCAAAATTTAATGGGGGATTTAGCAAAAGTTCTCCGCTCTTTTCATGAGTCTGCCCGACGTCAGTATAATGAACTGAGCGACCAGATGGATGCTATTAAGAGTCGCAACGATGTTCTAAATACATATTTAAAGATGTCTCGTTACCGTTAGGAGAACCCCTTTGGACTTTGTCTTTGGAGACTATGCACGTTTCGGCCTTTCTTTGGCTTTTCTTTTAGGACTTATACTTTTATTGAGTTGGTTATTGAAGCGACTTGGTTCTTTTTCCCTTCAGAGGAAAAGGCAAAAAGGAGGAATTGGCTCTTTGGGGATCGTTGCGTCTTGCGCTTTGGATAACCGTCGTCGTATGGTGGTTGTTCAATGGGAGGATCAAGAGCATTTAATTTTGCTGTCACCAACAGCTGAAACAGTTGTTTCTACAAAAACAAGGGATCAGGGAGAAACATGTTTAAAAGAGCCGACAACCACCTCAAGAGAAACTTTGCGGGCTCTACGCTAGAATTTTTCAGGTATTTTTCAAAAAAGCATATTTATAGAGCGGGTGTTCTCAGCTTAATTATTCTGAGTACTTTCGTACTTTGCAACAGTGCTTTTGCCCAAAGCTTAACTTTAGATATGGGTGGTGAAGGAGGAAGCCTTACCGGACGCATTGTTCAAATGGTTTTGTTGATTACCATTTTAACGTTGGCTCCCTCTATTCTTGTTATGGTGACGTCATTTACCCGCCTGGTCGTCGTTTTTTCTTTTCTGCGAAGTGCTATTGGATTACAGCAGTCCCCTCCGAATGCTGTCCTCATTTCTCTGGCTCTTTTTCTGACAGCATTTGTTATGTCTCCAACTCTAGAGAAAGTCTATGATGAAGGACTGTCTCCCCTTATTGAAGAAAAAATTCCTGTAGAAGAAGCGATGGATAAAATGTCTACACCCATTTAGGCGTTTATGATGCAACATGTGCGAGAAGATGACCTTGGTCTTTTTATGTCATTGTCTCAGCAAGATCCAGGATCTGTTGCGCACAAAGAAGATGTTTCTCTTCGGGCGCTTATTCCGGCTTTTATGATTAGTGAACTGCGTCGAGCCTTTGAGATTGGTTTTCTCATATTCCTTCCCTTTGTCATTATCGATATGGTTGTTGCGTCAATTCTTATGTCGATGGGGATGATGATGCTAACGCCTGTGATGATTTCGCTTCCCTTTAAACTGATCTTTTTTGTACAAGTAGACGGGTGGCATCTTGTTGTGAGTTCTCTTGTAAAAGGGTTTGGATTGGGCGACCTTGGGGGATAAACTTCTTTTGAATTTTTCCTTTTCCCTTTCGAGTTTCCCAATGAAAAAGCTAAATCTAAATGTTCTCGTTTTAATTTTTGCGGCACTGTGTTTTGGTTCTTTTTCTCCTAATGCTTCTGCTCTTTCTTCTCGTCCTGATGTAAAAAGTAATGACATAAACCACCATAAAAATGCTTTTAAAAAAGAGGAGAAAGCAGAAGTTACATCCCTTTTAGAGTACCTAAAGGCGCCTTCTTTCCCCAAAGAGGTGCAGGAGCTTGTTGAAAAAGGACGAAGTAACTACAGAACACACCTTAATTTTTTTTGGACAAAGTCTGTTGATTGGGATGCTGTAGGGAAAGGGCGATCAGAAAACTGGATCGAAAAAACATTTTCTCAAACAGAAAGTGAGATTGTGAAAAGTTTAAAGGCCATCCCAGGCCCTCAAACTTGGACAATTTCTACAATCAATAAGGCCTACAATCAAATTTTAAAATTTTCTCAAAGGCAAGAAAAAGAGAAGGTAATTCTTGTTGAAGGTGTTGGTATAAATGGCCTCCATCATTCTCCTTTAGGTCAGAACAGCTTGGTCCAACTGGCGAGTCAATTTAATTATTTAGAATCCCCTGGTTCCTATAAAGTACCAGTGTCTGATTATCTTCAAGATCTTACACAGGGGCCTTTAGGGAGCATTGAAGCCTCAGCCGCTGCACTGCATCGATTCGCTTCGGAAGAATCTGGGAAGCTTTTGAATGCCCTTCATGCCTTACTTCCTAAAGAGAACTTTAATTTTTATCGCCATGGCTATTTGATGCTTGGTAACGCTTCAGAGCAGGCATGCCAAAAGATCTATAGCTATATGCTTGAACATATTGATCAACTCGAAATTCTTCCTCAATGGACACTTTATGAGGCTGCTCATGTCATGAATATGCAGATTTTTTCTGCGGCTCTTTCTTTTCAAGGGCAAACACCCCCTAAGGTTGGATCTTGGGCAGAAAAAATCGCTAGCTTACTCGTTTCTAAGCAGTATGAAGCTATTGGAAAGCTTGCTGTTATGAGAAGTTTTTTAATAGAGAGAGCAGTCAATGTGCACTTAACGCTTGTTGGACAGGGCGTTTTTAATAATCCCTTCTCTGTTTTAGAGGAGTCTTTAAAAAAGTTTTATGCAACAATTAAAGGATACCCTGTTCATGCTTATATCCACGCCTTTTCCCCTGCATCTAAGCAAAAACTTGAGAGCTTTTTATTAGAAGCAGAAGTCCCGTACGAAAATATGACAAGGGAAGATTTTAAAGAAGGCAAATAACGCGTCAATTTTGAGATAGAGTGTTTAATTCTTTTTCAAAGGTCTCGATAAATTGAGAGGTTTGTTGAAGAATATTTGTGAGATTGTTCCTTAAAATTTCTTTGGGTGGAACCGTTAGAGCAGAAGCACGCGAAGAGAGTAGAGAAAAAAGAGCGTTATTAGCGTTTGAAGTTGTTTTTTCAGAGGGGATGCTTTCTTTTTTTCCACTTAAATAAAGGGCAGACAATAAGGACTTTTTTAGCTCCTTTTGTGTTAGAAGAGAAGCAATACTATGTTGGTGAGTATAGGAACCTTGAATCAAATTTTCCGTGGTTTTTTTTAGGATTGTTTCAATGTCTGCTTCTGTTGTCTCTGTGCCTGAGGCGTTTGAGTTAAGTAATGTAAGCACATTTTTTGCTAAAGGAGCTGCTAACTACCAATTTTTCAATCCCCAATACGCATTAAGTTTTAATAATTTTGATTCTAAATCTATGTTGCCCCCCGAAAAGTGGACAGTTGAATAAGCTCAAAATAAAGTTCTTTTTCGCATTTTAAGAAGGCAAAAGAAAAATGAGTAAAATA